GTGAAAATGGGAATGAAAGTTTGTATGGGAATCAAGTGAGTCGCTAGTCGAGTATAAGTTAAAAATAAAAAATCGAATAGGTATATCAGAATTTATTGAATAATATCGTAATCGTTTCCCTGACAAATGACAAACAATGTAGCCTACTCAAGGAAGATTAGCGGAATAATATGGTTTTCAAAATGGAGTACACTCACGTTAATGAAAATGAGTACTGTGTACTACACTGAACATGAGTGACAGGTGCTTGAACAACATGTATGAAACTAGCCACGGCTTATCTTGATATTACATTGTATTAAGTTATTAATTTTTCAATACATTATGTGGCATTCCTTGTAGGAATTGAAAGTTCTTAGTAATTGAATTTATAAAAATGTTCCATGAGATAATACTTGATATTGTAATTTTTTAGGTTTATTATCAATTGTAGTAATAATAAAGTTAAAATAATTCAGCTTTCTTTCATCACGTGGAACGCTAAAAAATGGTATAGGTGGGCTCTCAATAGAAAGAGGAAAAAGTCCACCAAACTCCAAATGCTGGTGGCAGACTATACCTACACATCTTTTTTGTAAACTATTATGTTCTTTGAGGTATACATGTTTCTTCACAATGTTCACATGATTTTTTTTTAAATTTGGCTTGAACCTGCTGCACTTAGTTTTCAAGCGAGCGTAGTAGTATTGTCAATGGCCTAATAGGTGACCTAGTAGTAAAAGTAGGCAGAGGAAACCTGCATATCTGAGAGATCCTTGCAAATATAGACACAATAGTTAAACAATTGAAATGTTCATATATGACTCATGGGACAGGGAAACGGTTAAAGTCAGCGGACCCGCTTTGGCGAGCATGATGGAATATGTCCTCCTTGTAGTAAAGGAAGGTTCGTACCCAGCACTGGGACGTTACGAAAAGGACTGAATACAAATGATTATTACGCCTGTTCGGGGTCCAAACTTCTATTAGAGAATCTAAAAATAATTCGAGCGGCTAAAATGTCAGACGCTAGTAAGCAGGGTGCAATTGAATTGGAACTTCCAATGCGTTTTTCTCACCTCAGTAATGGATTTTTGACATAACTAAACATTTAACCGTAACGTTGCCTACAACTTAAAGAACGGACAGAAGCTTTTACAAAATATGACACAGAGTATTTATTAATTATATAAACATAAGTGGTTTACGATCCTTTCAGCCATTTCCACAGAATACTTGATCCTGAGTTTGAAATTCCTATTCCGCTTAAATAGCAAAACAACAACAAAAATGCATTGAATCTTAATGTATACGGTACCTATACGGGGAACAAACTAGCTCTACCATCACCAAGCCAGCGACAGGGGACCACAGATTCAACCAATCGCTTACTGAAAAAAAATATAACATGCAATTTGTATACTAAAAATCCATACCCGTATCTCGTATTTGTTTACTTTCATTACATGTTATTTATATAGATAACATTCCATATGCGTTACTTTTAGGCCGTGTTCACTGTTTCTATTGATTTTTGCAGTCGCTAACTTTTATATTCAATTTATCGGTTACGGACTGTTTGATTGGCTTTACAAACAAAATTCATTTGGAGTTGCTATAAGTAATTGATTTAGGACTGGATGCAAATTAAATTATCTGTTGTTAAATATTAAAATTCATTTATTTATCATTGTAGGAAAGTAAATCAATATGCTTATTTAGTTAAGTAGGTAAATGAGAAGTAATTAGCTATTGACTATACCTAATAAGTTAAAATTTTCTACCTTTAAATAAACTAAAATATTTTGTGTATATTATATAACTATAGAATTTTGTGACGCTCACACGATTCACTAATACGGTTTTAATTATATATTTATCTAAAAATATGTTGTGAATCTGAAAGACTTGGACGAAAGCAGGACACAACCATTACGTAATCAAAACACATTTTTGCTGCTTATGGTTTTTTTTTAATTTCATATCATCTTTTCAGAATATTAAAGGTTTTACGCTAAACTTTAATTAGTTTTTTGCTGATTAATGCCTAAAAACTACGTCGTGCAGAACGAATGTCTATATCATATTGCGGAAATCGAAAAAATAAAATGTGTTTATTCTGATTCTAAACAAAGTAACAGAATAATCTACATAGAATCAGAGTTTTGAAACTAAATCTATATTTAATCTTCATTTGTTAATTAAATTACCACTATAGAACGGGTAAGTATAATACCTTCCTACTAAATAAAAAAGAACTGTGTCGAAAGAAACACGAAACGAAAAGACATAAAAAGGAATTTAACAGATACATAACATATGGCAAAAGACAATAATTGAATCGGTGACCTCCGATGTAGGAGGCAGAATAAGTCCAAGATTTTCCACTGCTTCAACAATATTAGCTAGTTGCAGTCAAATTTTATGATTAATTTTATTTTTAAAACAAAATTGTACAAAAATATAACTTTTTCTAGATTTTACAAAATATTATATAGCAAAGTTCTACACTATTAACACGTGGTCGACGAAAAATAGCCCAACAAGCAAAGTAATAAAAAAACCGCAATTTATTCAAGGATAACGTGGTTTTCTATAAGCGATGACTTTTAGGACTCCTTAATTCTTTTAGAGATCCCCGACATAAAAACAAACTATTTTTATGTACATTCATTGATTGTATTTAAGAAATGAATGTCACTTTTGTATTATACGTTACAGTGATTTGTAAAATAAATAAAATCTTACTACGGATATTTAATTATGCATGTAGGTAATGAACGGCCATTTTTGTGTACACGACGTAATTGTGAAAATTAATTGTTTCGACGAATTTATAGCTGAGTACGAGTAGTAGCGAAAAATTCAACGCTAAAATAAGGTCATGTTAACGTTATTTCTGACAGGATTATATATAAGTAAAAAGAGACACATTTGTACAAGAAAAATATTCTTGTATATCGTCTATATTGTGTAAATAATGTACCAATTACCATCAAGTGTACTCGTTTATCTTTTTAGTGCCAAAAATGTTTTGTAATAAAAGTTTTTTTAACAATATTTAGTGACAAGTCGCTTATTAAAACAAAAAGTTTACCAAACCGACTTCAAAGTACAGCTTTTTAAATAATCGAAAACGTTAAAATAACAAAAAATTATAATAAAAGCACTAAAAAGGCACTAAAACGTAAGTAGTGAAGTAAACTACTAAAGAGGATTTACGTTATATGAGTATAGTATTCTTAGCTTTGCTTAGCCTTCTGAGAGAGCGCCTATCAATTGTTAAATACAGTGTTAATTTTATAATTTTACTAAATCTATATTTCACTGTATGAAAAAATATTCCAGCACTGCATTGTGTTCTGCCAATATAGCCGGTCTCGAATAAAGTGTCGTATACCCCGTTACCGATTGTCATACGTCTTTTACCGCCCTTCAAATATTTTTTCCTGTTAAGAACACTCCCAAATTACATTCATTTATTTACTGGTTCTAAGTCTTCTCTTTTTTTCGTATTTGTATACCAGAACGTTAAGTTCAGCAGCATTCAAGATCAGACCTTTATTCTTATAATTAACTTTCATGCTATATTGGATGCTGTAGTTACCATTGGCAGGTCCCATTGAAGCTGTTTAGATAAAGAGATCTCCGTCTTGCAGACTTACACTCACATTATAATGTATTTAGGTAGAATGTCACACAGACTCATTGTGCGTGTGCCAATTCTGTGTTTCGTGTATTTTGATAACCATGAGAATTTTCATGTAATTTTCCTGTCCTATAAATTGACCGCTATAGAAATAATGAAGTCACAATTGATGAATAAATTGACAAGTCTTTCAAATACTCTTTTCTTAAAAAAAAAAAAAAAATACAATCTTTATTTAAACAACACAATGGTAACAAATACACACAGCCCTAACTCCTGAACTAGAAAACTGTGTTTCAGAAGCTAGCACCTTCCCATATCAGGCGTACATATTCATTGCATGAAATTACGTTATAATAAGGTAAGTTAATGTAAACAAAAAACATACAGTCGAATTGAGAACCTCCTCCTTTTTGAAGTCGGTTGAAAAAAGGAAAAAGAAAAAAAATATATTAAAAATTATTATCTTACCGCATATATTTTGTTGATATGCTTAGAACTGCCTTAGAGGTTTAGTTGCTAGCACGTTAAGGCTACAGACCCCAGGGCTCTAATTCAGGACAAAGTATAGTTGGACCAAGTACAATAATGGAGGTTTTTATCAAGATATTATTAAGGACACATACTTATGAAATAATGTACATTTCTTTAAAAGATATAATAAATGAAATTAATAAGTTTTTTTTTAAATCGGTCAACAAAAAAAGACTAGGCACTAAAACCTCGAAGTCTCGTAATCTTTGAATATATGCTCGTAGAGTCATAAACTAAAGCGATATAGCTCCGATGAGTGTATTGTTTTTTCAACATAACGGCACTTCGGTGTAAAAAACTCGTTTATAGGCAAAAATAATTTGTGTTCAATTTTTGCGCTCTGTCGATCAATAGATAGATATAAATAAAGACATCTAAACGTTTCATGTAAATGGTTTTTGGTGCTGTGGTGATTTTTTTATTATATTAGCTTTAAGTAAAAATTGTTAATGTTAAGCTTTAAAGGTAATTTTTATTACCACTAACTATCCAAAATAAATGTCGACTACTAAATACAAAGATTTAAAACTTCTTTGAGAGCATGGTACAGTAACTAATCGAATTATCAAGAATTTTCGACTTTGCCTCACTAATGAATTTTCTAAACGTCCACCGACACGCATTATTTTATTAGAGTCTAAATAAACATTAAACTTAAGTAATGGGCTTTTTGAAGGTAAACTTTGTTTATTTATAAGTAATTTATACTCTGGAAATGATTCCTCCTGACATTTTATAATAATAGCATTTAATGCTTCCTGTAGTTCATTTTCTAATAAAAAGTTATTAGTTACAGGGATCTTTCGGCAGATTTTTATAAAACGCAACACATATGCTACGCAACGAATAAGTCGTAAATAATTTGAAATTTGAAATTTATGAAAGTACTGTCTTTTGAATGTATATTTTCAGTTTTAATACTTAACGCAACATGAGCTCGAGTTCCGGGCAATGTGTCGAAATTTAAAAATTTAAGTTTAGAAGGATAGTTGAACGGATCTTTATTCAAAAAATCAGGACCATGCCACCATAAATCTGAACCTTGCAAGGTACTAATATCCACGCCACGAGATATTAGATCTGCTGGGTTTTTATCAGTTGGGACGTGCTGCCAGTTACAACTTCCCGCCTTGTCTAAAACTTCAGCAACGCGATTGCGTACAAATGGTTGAAGCTTAGAAGGCAACATCTGTAACCATCCCAATACGATAGTCGAGTCAGTCCAACAATAAACTCTGTCGAAGTTTACCCGAAGTGAGTTTATGATCTTTTCATAAATTCGAGCTCCTATAACGGCGCCACACAATTCTAACCGAGGAATTGTGGTAGGTTTAATTGGCGCCACTCGGCTTTTAGCCATTAATAAACGAACTTACTGTTACCATCGATAGAACGGACGTAAGCGCACGCACCATACGCTCCCTCAGATGCATACGTGAATATATGTAATTCTAACGCCTTAAATGAATCTTTTATAACAAGTCGGGGAATTCTAAATTGATTCAAAAGAGGCAAAGCTTTGACAAGAGCATCCCAGCTTGTAATATATTCTTGAGTTAAAGGTTCATCCCATGAAAGTTTATCTAACCACATTTTTTGCAACATCATTTTCATAGAAACAACAAAAGGAGATAATAGACCTAAAGGGTCAAAAATGCGCGCAATCGCTGAAAACAAATCACGTTTAGTGTTGCCTTCAAGTATCTTAGAACCTATTAAAAAACCTAGTTCATCAGAATTAGTGAACCAGTCAAGTCCTAATAGTTTATTAGGCTCAACCGATCCCATGCTTAAATCTAATGGCGACTGAAAGGATCCAGATATTAATTTAGATTCGTTCGATTTCCACTTTCTAAGTGGCATACAAGCTGAGGCAAATACATTAGTAACTTCATCACGGATGAACATTACATCATCTAAATCGTTACTACCTGTCAGCAGATCATCAACGTAAAAGTCATGCTGTATAATGGTGGCAATTTTATCATTTTTACATTCTATACCTAACTGTTTAAGACAGCGCGTGGCAAGAAATGGAGCACTAGCCGTACCGTACGTGACGGTGTTTAATTTAAATACTTTGACAGGATCATCTACATTTTCACGCCAAACTACCTGCTGCCAGTGCCTATCAGATGGATGAACTACGACCTGTCTATACATCTTTTCAACATCAGCTGACAAAACATACTTATGCTGCCGAAACCGAAGTAGTATAGAGAGAAGATCATCCTGAACCGTAGGACCTACCATCTGTAAATCATTAAAAGAAACTCCTGATGAAGTAGGGCAACTTGCATTGAAGACCACACGAAGCTTTGTAGTGACACTACATTCGCGTAGTACTCCATGATGCGGTATAAAATAATTACCTGTGTTCAAATTTAATTCTTTATTTTCCGACATATGACCTAACCTTTCATATTCAGACATGAATTCGTGATATTGAATTTTTAATTTGCGTTCAAGGGAAAGTAAACATTTTTTAGCCCTATGAAATGAGTTACCTAAAACAGAAGCATTTTGCTTTAACGGGATACGAACACAAAAACGACCATCATCTAAGCGTGTTGTATTTTTAATAAAATGATCCTCACATAATCTTTCTTCTGGTAAATAGTCAGAGGACTGTGACTGAATCTCTTCAAGATTCCAAAATCGCATTAAATCTTGACGAATTAAATCTAATTCAGAACCGTTACAAGGACTAGTTCGAGTAAAATTACAACTAATTTTATTTGATAATAATTTACCAGACTTATAGGTAATCGGGCCAGAAACGATCCAGCCTAACCTGGTTTCACTTAACACAGGCCTTCCGGCACCTAGCCTTATTCTCTCTGAGCCTAACAAGTCCCAAAAGAGATCCGCACCAATAAAAATATCAATATCTGAGGGCTTGTAAAAGGTGGGGTCAGCTAGACTAATATGAGAAGGAATATTAATGTCAGATAAATCTAATTCATAACAGGGCATACTACTTGTTATTAACGGTAACACAAAACAAAATAACTTTATCTTGTAATGGTTATTCAGTGACGTCATTTTTACTTGACAAGTGTTACCTACGCGAGAAGTCGCGTTATTTATCCCAAGAATCGACCTATCTATCTGACTAGTGGTTAATTTAAGCTTTTTACACAGTCGCTCCGTCATAAAACTCGATGTACTACCACTATCGAGTATCGCACGCGCAATGTGCTCATGATTATTTTTATCATATAATTTAACTAAAGCAGTTGACAGTAACACATCGCGCTGTTTATAAATGACGTTATAGGAAGGTGAAATATTCGCAGACAATGCTACGTTGCTAGCGTCAGTCTTGACAGCGATCGAAGACGCAGCGGACGTAGACGGAGACAAAGCTATGTTATCAATTATGTCATTACGATTACCCTTAATATCGGAAATATGGATTAATGTGTTATGCTTTCGCTTGCAGCCCTTTTTAACACCCGCACGGGTCTCCCTTCAGTACGAGGTGAATCAGGCCATAGTCCACCACGCTGGCCAATATCAGAGGTGCGAGACTCGGGATTTGAACTTGCTTCACTCGGTTTCCCAAGCGAGCGCGTTACCACTGGGATACCACTGCCTAGATACCTTTTACTTAAAGAAAATCTTTCTTTCCCACGGGAAAATACAATAACTGGTTTTATCGAGTCCTCCCTAGAAACCTTCCACTGGCTAAGCCTTAAGACATACATCAAAACAATATACTAAAAAATTGTAGGTCTTGAAAAGTCCTACAGAAAAGTTCTGAATAGTCTAGGCCTATCTCCTAAGTTACACTCGCAATATTTAATTGTTCTTATCTATACCTATAATAAAACTTAGTCAAATCGATGTGCGCGTTTCACGCAAAAAGTACTCAACCGATTTTAACTTAATTTTGTAGTGATAAAACTTAGTGCTCGGGTCAACATTTAGAATACTTTGTACGACAGGCAAATTATTCATTCCCACGGGAAAATACAATAACTGGTTCTATCGAATTGTCCTTAGAAATTTATATGGCTAACGTTGGCTTAACCTTAAGAGATAGATCAAAACATTGTACAAGAAAATTGTAAGTCTTAAAAAGGTCTATAGAAAAGTTTTACATAGTATATGTCTATCTCCTAAGGTACACTCGCTATAACTATTTTCATTATTATATATTTCTGTTTTATTATACGTTATTTATTCTATCTGAATATAGGTACATATATGAATAATAAAACTGTAGAGGTCGAATGTCTGTACATAGATGGTAGAAAAAATTGCTAAAAAACGAGTCAGTTCTCTTCTTACATCCCGTAAGGAGAGAAATAGAACAAATCCACATTTTTTTTTTCAATTTTTTTGTTTCTCTGTCTATTTGTCTGTTCGTACAGGCTAATCTCCGACACTATTGAACCTATTTAAATGAAATTTGATACTTTTCATTTCGGAAAATTAAAGAGTTCCCGTAGGATAGTAAAAAAATTATAGTAACTTATACAGCTCAGTACATAATAACTTATGCACCTAATTTAGTAAAATTTGGCATGCTGATACCTTATATTGCAGGTCAAACAACAGGTTACTTATTATTATCCCGGAAAAATGAACGGTTCCCGTGGGATAGATCTGTTTGTGCTTTTCTAGAGGTGAACCCGAGCGAAGCGAGGGTGAGCCGCTAGTAAAGAGATATTTTTATTACTTTTATAAAATGAACATTTTAAGTATCTTTTAATTTTAACCAGCTTTTATTTAACTTGCAATGTTTGGTAGTTGGTATGTTTGTATGGGCCCAATCTTGCAAGGTAAATTAGGACCACTTCCTCTTATCTCACAGGGTTGCAATTTTACATGTTTTTTTAGTACAGATGACAATAACTTTTTATGATAATTATGACCTAATTCTCCACCTTGGATTGACTCCAGACAAAGCAACTCCTTAACGATCAACAGTACAGACACGAAATTTTATATATGCATTTAATTGTCATAGCCTGCTCTAAAATCTCCCGTGACTTGAGACATCTCCTCAGGGGTCTGCAGCATAAATATTAGATTTTGTACACGTCTTCAATGATGATTCACTTGACCTAAAGAGTGTACCCACACCCACCCCATATAAATAAATAAATAGAAAAAAAACCTTTTATTTCTTTAATGTGCTAAAAAGAAGAAAATAGAAAATGTTTTTAAGAATGTATTTTTACTATTAATTAGGTAGAATTACTTACCGCTCTCGCAGGTCGTCTACAAGCTTCCTTAGTAAATATGTTGGGACATTAACACACGCCACCATCTAGTTCCATGGTAAGCTACGAGGCCTGTGTTACGGATACCAGATAGTTGATACACTACATAATATATATAATTTTAAATACATACATATTATAAATATAAACACCCATGACTGGATTACAAACATTCGTGCTCATCACACAAATGAATGCCCCCAGCGGGACTCGAACCTGCAACCGCTGGCACAGCAAGCAGGGTTACTACAAACTGAGCCAAACGTGTCGTCAAAGTAAATAGGCTATAAAACTCCATTTTTTTAAAATCGGACCAGTACTTCACATATTAGCGCGTTGAAACAAATAAACAAACTGCTAATCTTTATTACTATTCTTTACTGCACTTAATTGATTGATACAGTAATTAACATACAATAATATTAGTGAGCAAAGGTGGGCTAATCTCTAGAAGAAATCTCTTCCTGTCAACCTGAGTGAGATAGAGATATTTTTTGTATGTATTATTAGTATAGACATTAGATAGCGCTTATTATTATTTTAATAAAGAATACACCTCATAGTAGTACATTTACAGAACAAAAACGTTTCGAATAAAATAAATAAAATTACGAAATATCACTTGTTGTCTAGTACTTTTTAGGTAAGTCTGAATCCTGAATTTGTGTTGATAAATTTTTATATTTGAATGTACTCGTAAGTCACATCACGTTTTTGTATAAAGAAGATTGTAAAAAGTTTCCTTTAAATATGTAAGTCGTAAATCCTGCCTATTTTTTTAATATAAAATTTACTTAAAATAAAAGTTAAAGATTTATAATATTTGACCTAGATATTTATCATTAGTTTATTAAAATACAGGTCCATAAATATGTGGCTATGAACCAAAATATTTATTTTATTTACATTTTTTGGTCCCGTAATAAAAATATCCCCAAATTATTTTTTCATTCGAATATAATATAACCAATATTAGGCATGTATTCCTTTACATCACACTAGTTAACATCATAATACATTTTACCAGTAGTTTCCAAGAATAAGAAAATTCATTCTTGTCCTGTGAGGATATTTTCTTTTGCGAGTATCACAGATCAACACTCTGTTAATGTTAATAATTATAATATAGGTACTTCCAAATTAAAAGATAGTGTACTAACGAATTAAAAAATAAAAATGTATGATACATGAGTATGTCTTCGCAGTTAACTAAACTAAAAACCAAATCCAAGGAAGCTATTTGTATTATATAATTAAGACGAAACTCCAAAGTACTTAAAGATTCATTTTTAGCTCTTAGCCTATTAAAATAAGCCTTGAGTGAGCTATGAATAAAGTAAGTTTCTTTGAATTCCACCGTTCTTGAGATATGCATGCTAACAGACACACACAAAATTTCGTAAAGTATTTCAAATAATCTGTAAATTAAATAAAAGTAAAAAAAATAGTATTACTTTTATCGCTTGTGAAGAAAAAAAAACTAATTTTAATGGTTGAAATTGAAACGAGCAAAGAGGAAGATTTAAATGAACAGTTTTTCGGAATTCGTATTGTTTTTATACTGAAAGAGTTATAAAGAGCTTTCATATAAATTCATTCATTGTTCAGCTACTCACGTAGCTGAATGACAAGCTTTGTACGAGCTACGCCCACGTTGGGGTACGCCAAATACGA